CTTTTAATAAAATTATTTTATCTTTCAAATGTGTATATATTGTTGCATCTTTTGACAATATTCTTCTCTTTCCCCAATTAGTGTTCATTATCGTCACTTTGTCCACTGTAACAGAGCAATATTAATGGTTGCTTGTCTGGCTTCAAATCATCCAAAACCCTGTACCCATTTCCATTAAAAGCCATTGAGATGGATGCCTCGGGAAATGGAATTTGCGTCGTCCTGACATAACAAGGAAGATTGATTGCTTATATGAGCCGAGCATTGAGAGTAGCCAAACAATTATGATCAGTGTACGCTAAAGAGATGCTAGCTATTGTGGTTGTAATATAAGTATGGCGACCCTACCTAATGGGGTGTAAGTTTTATATTAAAACAGATCAGCATAGTTTAAAATATTTATTAGAACAATGTATTACTACTCTATAACAACAGAAGTGGGTATCCAAGTTGTTTGGGTATGACTATGAGATCATTTACAAATTAGGAAAAAAACAATATCATTGTCGAGACCCTTTCAAGAGAAATACATAGTCCACCCTTAGTTGCTCTATTCGTCTCCCACCACCAATTATGGGAGGACATCAAAGATGCTATGACAAGTAAAACGCACATGATCAAGATTGGACAATTGGCCTCATATTAGCCTGATCAACCTTACAGTTGGAAGAATGGTCTTATCCTCTATAAAAGTCGAGTTGTGATTCCACTAGGGTCAGAAATTATCTGACAACTGTTACACACTTATCATGATTCCCCAATAGGAGGCTATTCTGGAGTTCTCCACACTTATAAAAGACTTAACTTATAATTTTACTAGCCATCCATGCGTTGGACAATGTAAAAAATACATAGTTGCTTGTGAAACATGTCAACAAGCTAAATATGACACTTTATCTCCAGTCGGCCTTCAACAACCCTTGTCAATTTCTTGCTAAGTGTGGGACGATATCATCATGGATTTCATTGAGGGAGTATCACCATCCAATGAAAAGAACACCATCCTGGTTATAGTTGATCGCCTTAGCAGTTAGCACATTTCTTGGTCTTGTCCCATCCTTACTCAACAAAAGTAGTAGTTGAAAAATTTGTTGAGGGAGTCATCAAAGCTCCATGGCATGCCACATTTCATTATTAGTGACCGAGATCTCATATTTATCAGTTATTTCTAGAATAAAATTCTTCAAAATGTCAAGTACACAGCCTAAAAAAAAGTTTTTCATATCATCCTTCAAACTGACAGACAA